GCCGGTCGGCGCCCAGGCCCGGGGCGGGAGCGGCACCCACAGACCAGGGTGGCTATGGCACCTGTGGGCTGGGAGCCTTCCCTCCCTCTCAGGCCAGGGACGCTCCCGGTGGCACCAGGGATGCCGGTCCCGTGCTGCCCCCAGCGATGGTGCCGGTGCCCTGCCAGCTCCGGACACCGTGAGCACTCAGTGGGGACAGACAGATGGCTGTGTCCCAGCTTGGCCCCCACAGGAAGAGGCTGATGCCCAGCGCCTACCATGGCCCTTCCCAGACACGACCGTGACAAGCCCTCTGCTGTGCCCCAGCCTGGCACCTCCTCCCGAGCCCCGCTTGTCCCATGTCCCGCTGTCGCCTGTGCCGCCCCACAGGGGCAGGAAGGGCGCGGGGCCGGACCCAGCCGCCCAGCCCTTCACCGTCTCTGCGCTCACTTCCGCTCTTTCCAGCAACCAGGAGGGAAACCCACAGGCAACAAAGTGCTTTGGAAAGTCCCCGGGTTTGCCAGGAGCTCTGCGTTGGGGAAGGAAAGGCCAAGCCATTCCCTGCCGGACCCTGGAAAGTCCGCGCGGGCAGCACGTGTCCAGCCCCACAGCTGCCACAGCCCTGCCCTCTGCAATGGGCAGCGCCAGAGATGGTGCCAGGAGCCCCAGGAATGCTGCTTGTCCCCGTGGTGGTCGGCACAGTCGATGCCAGCCAGGACAGAGCAGATTTCTGAGTCTCGGGACCTGGCTGTGGTTGCCGCTCCACATTGCGGGGAGCATCACTGCAGCCCTGGCCAGGGCTCGGGGTGGGGAGCCCAAAGCACAAGGCAAGAGCAGGGGAGCCCAGGGCTCCTCCAGGCCCTGCCACCCCCAGCAGTGCCAGCTGGGCACATGGAGGAGCTCAGCTGCAGGGCAGGAACAGGGCAGAAGCTGATGGATGCTCCCCTTTGTCCCAGCCACTGCTGACACCAGCTTGGTCCCCTCTGTCCTTGCCAGCCCCCAGAGCCGAGCCAGGAGCTGCCAGGGACAAGCCCACACAGTGCCCGGTGGTCACACACCCTGCCAGGGAACCCCAGCAGGGCTCCAGGGACGCACAGCTTGGCAGACGGGGCTAGAGGCACCTCCCCATGCCCTAAGGGGCTTACTCTGCCTTTCCTCCTGCCCCCAGCATGGCCGGCAGTGACACCCCAGCCCCAGCAGCACCAGGGACGGCACAGGGACGCGGGCGCCGCTGGGGTGTCCTGCTGCCATCCCTGCTTCTTCCCCCGGCGCAATGGAGCAGCCCAGGAGCCCAGCTCACACCGGCCCCGCGCATGGCACACACCCAGCTGGGGTGTGCAGTCCCGGCGTGCTGCCTTCCCCACCACCCCGCATCCCACGCTGTCACCTCCCCGCACGCCAGGCCGGGGCCAGGCACTCGCAGCGCCCGGGATGAGCCGGGGCCCTCTGGAGTCAAAGCCAGCCACTGCCAATAACCTTTGTCCCAGCGGAGCCGGGATGCCGCAGGTCCATCTGGATCCCCCTTTTGGCACTTGGGTCCCAACCCAGGACCACAGAGCCACTCTGCAGGTCCCACCACGCTGCCTCGCCGTTATCTCCGTGCCAGTCCTTCCAGTTTCCAGGACAACACTGTCCCAATTAAGCTCATTAGGAGGAGCTGTAATCCCTGGCAGCCCGGCTGACCTGCAGGGCCTGGGCAGATTACCCTCTGCAGAGCTCTTTAATCTGCTCCCCGCTGTGTGACCAAGGCCCATGGTGCTTGGCTGCCCCAGCTGGGTGTTACAAGGCTCATCTATAGGGAAAGCACCCACCACCCCTATGGTGAGCTCTCCACGCCATGGGGCAGGTCACAGCTCCCACGGGGTGAGCACGGCCCTGGCCAGCCCGTCCTTCTCCAGCTCGTGATGCCATCTGGGGGCTCTGCGGGGCTCCAAGGAGGGGCACCCATGCAGGAGCCTCCACCGGGGGGAAGGATGCTGAGGGTGCTGCAGGGGACCGGTGCCCCAGCATAGCTCCCCAGGAGATTCCGAGTGACCCCCAGCCGCTCACCTAGGCGCCTTGGAGGCTCCAGCAGGTACCTGCACCGCGCTGGGTTGCGCTCCGAGACACCCGAGGCTCCTGCAGCAGCACAGGGAGCGCTGCCATGAGCGGTGGCCGCCGACTGGACCACGTCCCTGTGCTCCAGCCCAGGCACCCAGCTCTCCCCCAAACCTCCCCTCCACGCACTGTGCCAGACCGCCGGCAGGATGGGTGCAGACCTGAGCAGGCAGCAAGGGACAGCGCAACCCCAGCACTTGCTGCCAGCCGGCCCAGCAACCGGCCCCAGGCACCCCCAGGTCCAGCCTGTCTGCTGCAGTGCCCTGCGTCCCCATGCCTGGCACCCTGCAGCTCAGCTCCTCTGCCAGGACCCCAAACCTCTTTCAAGGAGGGGGAGAACGTGCCCCCGCTCTGCAGGAGCGATGCCCTGGCAGCCCCAGGGATGCTCGAGCCCGGCACAGGTGGGCAGGCAGCTGGGTGCCAGAGGGCAGCGCTGCCTGCATCGGGCAGGGCGTGGGGTCTCTGCTCCTGGCACGCTCGGCTCAGGAGGACGAAGGAAAAAACCCCGGCGTGGTACATTCCTGACATTATCGAGATAAGAGGTACCTGGTACTGCGGCGGCATGGCCAGGCCCGACGGGGAGCGGAGCCCAGAGCACGCGTGGAAGGGGCAGCTGGGGCGGTGAGCCCCGCACCAGGCTTACCGGCAGGCTAGCACCGCGCAGAGCACCGGCATGCTCGTGTCCCTGCCGCGCGCTGAGCCCCAAGCACATCCCTCCCTCTCCGGAGAGGGAGCCGCAGAGGTCCTGCCCCAAAGGTCCAGGCCCTGCCAGCCCCTTGCCCTTAATTAGGGCGTTGGTGCCAATGATGCCGCCTCCCGACCAAGCTTTTCACCTTGCCGTGCCTGTGCCGCGCACCGCCCGCACCTCCTGGCGTAGGAAACACAATCCTGGGAGTCTGCCTGTCTGTCCGTCTGTCTGTCCCCAGCCAGCGCTGCCTGCAGGCGGTGGCCGAGAGGGCAGAGCAGCCAGATGTGAGCAGCTGGGTGGGCAGCACGGCGAGGGGTGCTGGAGCCCACGCCGGGGCTCTCCAGCCCGGCCGCCGGCTCCCCTCCCCACGCCCCGGTGCTCTGGAGATGATTGGGATCCCAAGAATGCTGGTCTGAGCGGTGGAGGGGGCAGTCCGACCGGCTGGGTTGGTCCCAGCTGGTTTCTGTTTCCGACACTCAGACACCAGCCTCAGGTCGCTCCGGCGGGTTTATCAACACTGCCCCGGATGGAGACGCCCCAAACTGGCTCCCCCCCAAATCCCCAGCCCCGCAGCCCCGGCAGCTGGGGGTGCTCTGACCACCATCTCTGGTAATGGCACTTACTGGCGGCCAGAAAAGCCCAAGGGGGCCAAGCCAGCACCCCTGGCCTCGGGGAGGGGCACCCACAGCCACCCCAGG